ACTCCAGTCTTCAGTGTCACATGATCCTTCAGAAATCATTCTAATATGTAGATTTGGAAACATTTCTTCTTATTATAAATGTTGAAAACATTTGTGCTGCTTAATATTTTTGTGTTGCATTTTTTCAGGATGCTTTGGTGAATAGAATGTTCAAAAGAGCAGCATTTATTTGAAATAGAAATGCTTTGTAAACCGTATGCCTTTACTGTCACTTTTGATCAAATGAATGTATTCGTATGTAATACAAATATTTTCTTTAAAAAATAAAATCTCAGTAGTGTATATTATAGTGTATATTTAAATTTAAATTTTTGCATCCTTTTTTAAGTCTTCAGTCCTGATTCACTGTAATTGCATGGAAATTTCAAAAGCATTCGTGTCTGAACTTTCCCTTTAAGAATGAATAACAAATAGTAGAACAGTTCAGTTTGTACAGTCCTCACTAAAACTGCAATAAAACCATAAATTCTCACTTCCATTTGAACACATACGGCATGTATGGTTTTGCTTGAGCAGCACTCGACAATAACTAGACTATGAAAAAGTGTGAGGCAATTTTGTAGGCACATGCTCTGCTTTCTGCAGTCACCTTATTTCAACTGACTTCAGTCGAGTAGAAGCCATATGTAATTTAATGCAAATGAAAACAGGGACGTGAAAGTACAGTCCATTCAAGTGCCTCGTTTTCATTTGTGTCAAATTAAATATGCCATTTACTCTTACTAAAGTCTTTACACATCACATCCTACAATGTGATTTTCTGGATTTTTTTTTCTCATTTTGTCTCTCATAGTTGAGGTATACCTATGATGAAAATTACAGGCCTCTCTCATCTTTTTAAGTGGGAGAACTTGCACAATTGGTGGCTGACTAAATACTTTTTTGCCCCACTGTACATAGTACTAGTGTTGATGCAAAGTGTTTTTAAATGCATAGAAAAATGCATAAATCAATTTCGGTTTCAGAATTTCTAATCTTAGACTCACGGTCAGAGCAAAACAAAGTGACTGCACTCTGTAACCTCTGCATTAAGTGATTTACCTTCTTTTCTCTCTCTCTCTCTTTCTCTCAGATGCAGAGAAAGCAGATGACGGGGTCTCCCCAACAGACCAGGACTCAGCTCTTGCAGGTGCTGCATTTCTTCCTCCAGCTTACTGCAGCTGCTATTTATCAAATGTAGAAAAGGCATGACACCCCAGAATTCAGATCAATTTCTCAGCTCATACGTCAGTTTCTGTGGCCTTTACCAGCCTGTTTCATGTGCTTTCATAAAGCCTTGGGGCCCATGTTTGCCCCGCTGCGGTTTGGTGCAGTTTTGCTCAGGCCATAATCCTGAACTCTTTGGTGCTGTTTAATGGGACACCGTGGCAGTCATTGACCCTTGAGTCGGGATACAAAATAAACTGACATTAGCTTGCGGCAAATTTGAGGACCGTCAGATACTGCTTTACATTTTGATTGGGTTTGTGTAGAAAAGATTCATTAGGGCTTTCAATTTCCTTGGATAGTTCCTATGCCATCAGTTTGATTTGGGAACGATACACTGGGTGAGGTAGTTTTTTTCTGGGAGAGATTCATCGATGTCTTTCGTCTGTGTGAATAAACTAGTTCTTGCGGCATTGGAGGTATTTTCACGCGGCGAGGCATGACTTGAGCGTGTCAAATCTGTACCAATCACACGCTCTCTTCTATAAAACTGAGACATATAGTATAGCAAATCCAACAAGACAGGGATGCATAGTTGTACAAATTCAACCCAAGACATATTTCAGCATCATGAACATACTGTATATATGTGTGAATTTCAGCATAACTGTCATTAATATATAATATAATATATCTTGTGGCCAAAAAGTATTTGAACTCTTAAGTCATGCCTTAAAATGTCAGAATTGCATTACATTGGATGACAAAATATCTACCCAAGTAGCAAACAAATGATTCTAGACCTTTTTTTTCTAACTAACTCAAACTAACAGGCTTTTGAGCTGTTTTTGAAAGTAGCTTTAAGCAAATGGTGTCAGGCTGATTTTATATGGATGTTTTAAGTTTCTTTATAGGACGTTTCCACTAAAGTATTACTTTAAAAATTACAATTAAAAATAAATAGAAATTACAATTACTGTATTGACCCAAATATAAGACGATGTTTTTTTCTTGGAAATACATCTGAAAAAACGTGGTTGTCTTATATTCAGGGTCTAGAATTTGACATGTCAATAATACACCCACAACAATAGGTGGTGCCAAATACACATAAAACAAGTGGGCCATGAAATGCGTAATGTAATGCATGTTGTAAAGATCACAAGTAAAAACAAAAGAAAAAGAAAACCTTACAGCTGCATGAGTCGTGACTGTCACGTTAGCCTGATGGGACCAAACTCCCTTTGTGATTTTAAAAGGTAAGACAGTACCCAGATTTGAAGACTACAGTAAGATTTAACTTCTACTGTTAATAAGATTTTGGTAGGCTACTATTAGATGGATAGCCTAAATGTCCTAATTCAGATGGGCTACCTGTTTTTTTATTTTTACTGGTATATCAAAAAGTGTATATATATTTTAATGTGATTGTTGGTACATTTTACCAGTTTTTACAATACTTTCAAAACAAAAATTAAAATAGGAAAAATATGCAATATGAAAATAATTAAAGACAAAATGTGTTTTACTGAGAAAAGACAAGATCTGGTTTTTAAAAGGCCTTTTTCCAAAAGGTACATCTGGAAAAAGGGGGGTCGTCTTATAATCAGGGTTGTCTTATTTTCGGGCCAATACGGTAATTACAATACATTTAGTTCTGGTTTATTATTATTATTATTATTATTATTATTATTATTATTATTATTATTATTTATAATAATAATAATAATAATAATAATAATAATAATAATAATAATAATAATAATAACAATAATAAATTATATAAAACAATACGATGTTTAATAATAATATTAATGTATTAAAAATAATACAAATGTTTAATTATTTTTCTTATTAAAATATATATTTTTTAAATAAAGTAAAATGAATATGATTGGCTTTAGTTACACTATTAAATGTTAGAAAAATTAGAAGTATTGTGGAAAATCTTTTTTAATAATAATAATAATAAAAATAATAATAATAATTTATTAAATTATAATAAAAAAAAGTTTAATAATTTGTATTATTAAAATTAAAGTTAATGTTGTGGATTTTACTTCTATAAGGATCCTATAAGTATAAATATATAATAATAATCATTTGTTTATTAATAATAGTAATAATAATAATAATAATAATAATTAGTACTAGTAATAGTAGTAGGATTTGTATTGTTATTTTAAATAATATTTTATTTTTTTGTTATAATTTAATTATTTAATTTTATTGTATAAAATATATGCTACACACTCAGTCATTCCTGTCCAAAACGGTTTTAATTTAAGTTCATAGTTTCTTATAGAGGCTGCATGAGGAAAAACACAGATAACTGACAACCATAAAGTTTCCAAACAATGTTGTCTTTTACAACTTTGTCAATTAGTGTCCAAATATGTGACCCTGGACCACAAAACCAGTCATAAGGGTCAATTTTTCAAAAAAGCTGAATAAATAAGCTTTCCAGTGATGTATGGTTTGTTAGGATATAACAATATTTGGTCGAGATACAACTATTTGAAAATCTGGAATCTGAGGGTGCAAAAAAAAACTTTAAAGTTGTCCAAATTAAGCTCTTAGCAATGCATATTACTAATGAAAAATTAAGTTTTAATATATTTACAGTAGGAAATTTACAAAATATCTTCATGGAACATGATTTTTACTTAATATCCTAATGATTTTTTGGCATAATCGAAAAATTTATAATTTTGACCCATAAAATGTATTTTTTGCTATTGGTACAAATATACCCCAGCGATTTAAGACTGGTTTTGTGCTCCAGGGTCACATATGTTTTGGGGTCCTTGCACTGTACATCACTTTAATAAAATGATCTTTTCAGACACAATAAATAGTTTTTATTCACAACTCTTGTTCCTCAACAGGTCGCGGTCTTCCTGTCTATGTGGTGGTGATCCTGGTTGTGGGCGGTCTTCTGTTGTTCCTAAACCCTCTGAGCTGCTTTCTATTCGCCAAATGGAAAAGAGGGCGGAGCCTGAAAGGTAATTGACAGTGAAACTCCTCAGCGCGTCGCCATTTCTACTTTGTGCTGTTAGACAACGTGTCCTAGACTGGTCGACTCGCAGCGACAGCACGCAGTGCAAAAGGGATGAACTGTCTGAATCTTAATATGATTTCTCACTTTTAAATCCATCTCTCTTTTTCTCTTATCTCACTCGCTACCTCCTCAGCCATCTGCATCATCCCGCCATCTCTCCTTTCCCCGGCAGCTGTCACTTCCTCCCTTCGTCTCTCCCCTTATCTCGGCCCTTTCCCTTTCGTCCTCTGTCATTTTCTCTCTCACTCACCCCATCTGTCTTTTTTTCGCCTCGCCTCTTCCTTCAAACTGGCAGGTGTCTTGTCTCTCCCCTCTCATCTCTCGCTCCCTTTTTTTTCTTTTCCTCTCTATTCATGAACCTGTCGTCCTCTCCTCTCGCTTTCAATTTGAACGGCCCTTTTTATCAGTTTATTAAAGCTACTGTCACAACACATTTTGTAAGGAGAAACCAATAATTGAAATGGCGTATGATGAATGTTTCTTGTGTTCTGTCTTTCTGACGTTCTGGCTTTCCTTTTATTTCCGTCATGCTCTCCTTCCTGTGACCTTTGCCCTGTAACACGCCACTCTCATTTGTTTTTTTGCACTCAGAGGACACCAGGAGCATTTCACAGGAGACGAAAAGCGAGGAGCAGAGGTGAGTCACGTTAGCGCTCTGAATCAAAGCTCTGTTGTAGGTATGCCCACTTAAGTGGTCCTGACCCTGATGTGGCTAAACCCTGAAAAAATAAGTTTGCAGATAAAAATGTGAGTACAAAACTTGTTGCAATGATGCTAGGTTTGCTAGGTGGTTATTTACTGCCGTAAAGTTTAATACTTGGTTATAGAGATTTGAACAAACTCCTATGCCTTAATATGAGCAGTAGTAATGGTGATGTGAGCCTTAGCGAGCCGCACTGACAAGCAAGACCAGCATGCTGTGATATGGCTGAAAGGCTTTCTGAACAACTTCTGCCTGTCTGGATGAAGCCTTTCAGCTTCCAGTAGCTATAGAAGCCCTCAAGACGGCATATAGAAACGCTGCTTAGCTTGCATCTCCATAAATAGACTCCAGAGAAGTACAGAGTGTTCATTTCACCAGCCTACAGGTGAGTCATGAGCCCCCAAATAAAGCAGAATAGACAAAAGTCTTGGAGTTTTAATAGGATATTAAAAGAGAGAAGTCTATGTAATTAATTTTTTTTAACTTAACATAAAATGGCATAGGCAGAGCATTTTACTTCTGTAAAATGACCCAGAATATGCAATGAGAAAAAACAAATGAAAGAAAAATAAATATTTAGATTCTTTAATTTATTAAATGTGTGTATTATTAGTTTATTGATGTGTGTAAACATTAAGACGTCAAAGAGTGATTTGTGTTAAGGCATAAAATCTAATATGTAATAGTGAGTCATTCACTACATTATGTATTTAATATATATATAGTATATTTTAATTTATTTATAAATGTAATTTAATAATATTAAATTAAAAGCAAATATGAAAGGAATATTAAATTATGTATAATTATTAAGAATTATATATTTGTTTTACTAATACATAATTTAGTTGTGTAAATATATATAATATTATATAACATGTATAGTGGATGATGCATTATTGTTATTATATATGTATATATTTTGTATAGATTTCAATAGATGTTCTGGGCATCTGTATTTATTGAGTGCTCCTTAGAAATTCCTCCCTGTTTGCAGAAGTTCTCTTTCTTGTCATGTTTTCTAACTTGCAGGTGTGATGTGTTGTGAATGTGATGTTTCTGTGTTTCTGCAGGTCCACGGCGAGCGGCTCAACCCGCTATGCAAGCAGAGAGCTTATCAACGCCTCGGCACAGCGAACACTCCTCATTGACAGCAGCTCCGAGCCTGACAGCAGCGTCTATGAGAGCTACGGACGGGTATATCACTGGCCACTCACACAGTCTGTTCAGGCTTTCCCATGATTTTTTTTTCAAACATTCAGATAAAAATACATGAAAGGAATGTTTCCTGTCTTGTATTGAAAAAGATCACACCTGAATTCACAAACAATGTTTATTACTACTGAAGATGTCCTTTTTCCTCAATAGCAGGAGAGTTCTCATTATTACTACCCAAGTGAGGCCTACAGTCCTGCCCTGTTTACTCACCCTGAAGGGCCTGAGGATCATGGTGAGACTAAATCAAATGTTCTTATACACGTAAGAGGGATTTTAAAGCTTAACTTTACATTTTTTAGATTTAAATTTAGCTTCTGTCAAATTCTGATCCCTTTCCCAAATAACTTTCTGCCTATTTAGCAAAAAGTGTTAGTGTTTGTGGCCCATCGCTAAACAGTTCCTAGGGTGTTATGAGTGTTTGTGGGTCCTAAGAGATTGTATGGTTCAGGTCTGTCTTTCATTGGAAGCTTACAAACAAATCGCTCATCCACGCGACTTATTTTTTATACTTAGTTATGATATGAACGAATCTGAGTATGAGTGAGAATAATAGTGATCCTTGCCTTCTTGTTTTTATGCAAAGTGAGTATTCAATATTTGAGCAAACCCCTCCAGTGACATTTTATGGATTAGTTAACAATTAAATTGAAGTATTCATGTGCTGTGTTTCCTTCCCTCCAGATGGCAGACACGGCACAAATCCTCTCACTCACGACTATGAGGAGGTTAGAGGCTGGGGGACGTCCGAGGACCTGCAGGGCTACTCACTGCTGCCCCCTGCTGCCCAATATCATCCACGAGCACCAGTATCCACCTACTATGAGGTGGGTGAGAACCAACAACCAGTTGGATCTATCTAGAAAGATGCACTTAATAAATTTTATATCTAAGTTCCCAGGTCTAATTCAAAGGATACATGATATACACAAGCTCCCTTATGATTGCAGAGTTATGGTATTGCAGCATAGTGGTGCAATAGTTTTTATGTGACAGACTCTGTCAGTTTGCAATTTCGCTTTTGTTTATAGTTGTCGTTTATTCCACTGTTCTCCACAGGGAAGGGCATACGGTAAAGCTGATGTGGACGTAACAGCAGGAGTTTATGATTCTATGGTGTACAGACGCAGAAGAGACACAGACTTGCCGTTTGAGCTCAGAGGGGAGCTGGTTTAATAATAGTGAGGCTGGTGTGTGCTGTGGTCTAGACCAGCTCTACCCTGAGACCAGTTTGGGTTTATGAGTTGAAAAAACATTTCTTCTTTTACTTTTCCTATTATTTGTCTAAAATATGTTGACTGTTCTCTTTTTGCAGTTTAAGTTCATCATAAATGTTAAATTGTTAAATAAATATTACATTTGATTTTAATTTTGTCTAAATCAGAAGCTTTTTTGAGATCGGCTGCTGGAATGCCTCCCTAGTATGCTCCCTTTTTAGGTGATCGGACAGTCTCTTATGCTCCCCAAGGCTGCATTTATTTGATCAAAAATACAGTAAAAATAGGAATATTGTGAAATATTATTATCACGTAAAATAACCGTTTTCTATTTGAATATATTTTAAAATGTAATTTATTCCTGTGATGCAAAGCTGAATTTTCAGTATCAGTCTTCAGTGACACTGATGATTAGTAATGTTGAAAACAGTTGCCCTGCTTAAAATGTGTGTGTGTGTGTGTGTGTCTTGAGCCCTGTAGTGTTTGTCTCGGCATATTAGACTGTATATTGAGGAAAGGATTTTTACATTGGCACACGTGACCTTTAAAAATGAGTCCAGAGTCAATTGTTGCATGTTAATATCAATTACAATAGCAATAACAATGTGCAATTACAAGCTACTCTTGTAATTGCATATTAGGTCATTAATTTGTATTACTGAGGACTTAATTATATAAATAGTTACCGTGTAAAGAGTGACCCTTTCTGAGGCCTAGAATTTATCAAGTATTCTCAACTACCTTCAGAAAAAAAAAAAAATGATAATAATAATCTGATAAGAACACAAGTGTTATGTAATGCAGCTTTTAAGCAATGAGGTACTACCAAACGTGCTATTATTAATCCTGAGCTTAATGGTTTTTCCTGATGGCATGCAGTCCTCTTGGGATTCTTGGAAAGCGTGGAGCTTTGTCCCAAGAGGAAGTCTTTGAATGTGAGAACGGGGATAAAAGTCTTGAATCCTTGAGTCTGCGGAAGCCAACAACAATAACAACAACAACAGCAGCCTTCAATGACACACATTTGTGTTGTTGTCATGTATATGTTATCACAAGAAGTTAAACAGGGAATCTAGGCAAAGGCTAAATTTTTTATTGGCCTGAGACAAGATTGCTGGCTTGGGAAAAAGAAAGGCTGGCTTAAAAATATTCATCCCCCCCAAAAATGAAGATTCTCTCAACATCCACTCTCATGTCATTCCAAATGCATAATATATATTTTTTTTTCTGTGAGAACCTAGATGTTTTGGAAAATGTTCATGCTGTCCTTTTCCAGAAAAGAACGGCTGTCAAGCTAAAATATAGCATACACTCTAAATATAATTCAGTTAATTTGTAAATATCACAATAATAAATAACTAATCTACCTTAAGATAATGTTCCTCTTAAATTTCAATTAAAATATTTGCAAATGGAGAAATTATACTGATCAGTTTCAAGATCTTCAATTATTACTCATTTCATATCAATATTTTTTAACAGCAACTTAAGAAATTGAGTATGTTGGACATGATTAACAATCATGCTCAAAGAGGGGGAAATTTGATTTTCAGCATGCTTTGATACAGACTGTATAAGGAACGTAAATGTTGAAACAAAGTGTTATTTTCTGTGTTTTTGCACAAAATATAGGAGATCTGTTCATGTTTAATGTTCTATTAAACTGGAATTTATAGGGGGGTTTGATGCCATTTTGGAGACCAAGAGTAGACCAAAAAAATTGAGTACATCATACTTTAAATCATTTTTATTGTGCTTTTTTTTTTTTTTTGGTTCTTTCTGGATCTCGACCGCCCATGGTCGCTATCTACCTTTGTTTTATGGAAAAGTGCAGTTTTTAGATTATGCAAAACATCTCCTTTGTGTTCCACTGAAAAAAGCAAGTTATTGAGTTTAGAAGGGCATCAAGGTGACAAATTGCCAACTTTTATCAATTGGCTGAACTGTTCTTTTAAAATTCATCTTGTTTCCTCTGATTACTTTTCTGGATGCTTTCAAAGAAGCTGGCTTATCAAGAGTGGATGGCAGATTACAGGTTGGGAAGGATGCCAGTGATTCTACACTGCCGTAACAGCTTGTTTAATTGTAAATCAAAGGTAGTCTATAACCCATTGTCTTCTGCGGCTGTAATTTCTGATATTTTATTGCTGTCGTTTGGGATGCACACTAACACTGCAATCTCCCTCCCTTTTCCTCCGCTGCTTCTTAATGCTGAGATTCGCCTTCATGTCCGTGGAGCCCTGGCGCCACCGTGACAGGGAGCAGACGTCCAACGCTGCTAATGTGAAAACAACTGTTCAGACACCTGGCTTGAGGTGGGCCAATCTCATCTCCTCTCTTCTGTGCACCCACAATCCACTTGCCCTATTGACCGGCTCAGCAGCCATGTCAAACACCTCAAGCAGCCACGACGTCTGGAGATGAGAAGTTATTTCTGTTCCCATAGTTACCACACCCTTTTGGACACATTTAAAGTTGTCTACCTTATGGTGAAAGCGTTTACTAAAATACCTGCGTTTTTAGTATTTCCATGATATGTTAGAACATCTGGGCATCTTGTTTTTCTAAAAGATTATGACTTTGATTGGAATGTAACCATCAGTGATTATGTTTAGCTTCCAGGAGATGTGATCTCACCTTGATAAATGTTTATTTTTCTCGCCTTATCTTCTAATTCTTCTGTAGAATTTCTTAGAGGCATCAAACTCAGTCAGATAAACAAACAACACTCTTGCAACTGCTTCAGCAAAGTTATGCAAATTAATGATAAGGTGTTAATTATATCAGATAGTACAGCGGGATATTAAAAGATGTTATTACATTGTATATTTTTATTGTCTAATTTTCTGCTTAGTATTCATCACGCTGTTTCGCCATGTATACAACTGTTCTGTACAGTGGAAGCCAGTGTATCAGGGGTTTTCAACCTTTTAGGACATGCGCCCCCCTTTGCACAGTCAAAACTAATCAAGTCCACCAGGTTTCTGATGCAGGACAGGATCATATAAATCCCATATTCAGTTTGGATTTTGATTAAATTATTTAACTGAGCTCTGATTTTAGAGTTACATTGATATCAACTAAGCCTTCGCGTCATCTCCCTCCACAGGTGTAATTCACATTGTGAGAGTCGAGTCACTCTCCCACTCTTTACTGTGTAACTTATATTTAGGCGACTGGCATTGTGATCGCTTGAATATACAGCTCTACGTTCAAAATCGTATCCCTTATCGTGCTAAAAACCCGTCATTCATGAAGCATTTTTTAATGTTCTAAAAACGGCATGCGATAATTAAGGGAACATTTCATTTAATCATTTTGAAAACATTATGGAAATGTTAAATTTGAATAGTCTCACACAACAGTAACATTTAAAAATGTAAATAGATAAGTAAATATTTTGATGAGCATCCAACTGAAACATTTCAGAAAAAAGTTCCATGAACAATGTATAAATAAATATAAATAATTTATATATATATATATATATATATATATACTGTATATATTTAATTACAATGAGTTTTTAAAAACAATGCTTTTCTGAGCTCATCAGGTACAAATTCTAAGAAGTATTTCTTATTTATGAGATATGACTTTTTATAAGTAAACAACAGCACAGCAACGGATAAAGGTGCTGCAGTAGATGAGATGATAGCAGTCTGTACAAAAAAAAGAGGAACCAATGCCGTACTTCCCCTCAGGGCCGCATTAACCATTGCAAGGAGGGGGCCCCATGATTGGCTGTGGAGTAGATTGACGGATATCGGTAGCGCCGATCGCCAAAGCCCCTCACTATATAGCACTATTATTTAGTGGAGTTTTTCTGTAAATTCCATGCATTACGCTACCATTAGAGATTAAAGCGTCACATTTGAATTTGGTTTAACAATCAAATGCATTTATTATATATTTTACTTTTGAACGAACTGTGCACGTAGCCTATCTATCAGGTGATCGCTGCGCCTAATATCTGCATTCACCTCTCTTCACTTCATTCTGGTGTAATCTAGAAACGGTCATGCAAAAAACAATCTTCGATAAGTAAAAATGTCAACTATTCTAAAAAAAAAATAGTGAGAGAAAAAAATGAGGAGAGAGGGGAAAACATGAGTTAGTCACTAAAATCCACAGCTAGTTTATTTTACTAAAGCTGATGATGGAGTTTGAGTTGTCACATGGAGCAGATAAAAACACAGCGTCATCATCCCCACAGATTTTAGGTTAGTTTGATTATTAACTTGATAGATGTTTATTGCTTTTTGTGTTTGAAATAACTCTATAGGCCTAGTATATTCGCTTATGGGTTGAGAAATTCATTTTGCACATCATGATGTAAGCTTTTAATGTAAACGCATTTTAAGCATTGTGGTTTAACAACTAATTTAACTGTTCAGGGACATTAAGCAGTGCGGCAAAATTCATTGGGGCTGACTAAACTAGCTATTTTTCACGTCTTGTGTTTAAACGTTTGAATACACATAGTTATGTGTTAAAAATGCCTGTCTCCTCGTCAACGCAGTCATTTGTGTCTTAAATGAACATTAATAGTTAAAGATAAAGCATGTGCAATAGTTGACTATTATGAAATCCCGGAATTATATGATGAGATTTTAAAGGGATGTAGTTCACCCCAAAATTTTAATATTATAGTATCAGTTTACACACAAAACAAATACACAATACAAATAATATAATTTACTCAGTTTCAAGTTGTTCTGAACCTGTATGAATTTCTTTGTTCTTCTCAACATAAAAGAAGATATTTTGAAGAATATTCTTAACCACCAGGAAGTTTAATAAGGTCCCTGTTGACTCCAATAGTGTTTTTTCTCTCCATACTATGTCATGGGGGCACAGAAACTGTTTGGTTACCAGTATTGTTCCAAATATAGTATACATTTGCTTTCAACAGCAGAAGGAAACTCATACAGGTTTAGAACAACAACATAACTTAAATTTTTTGGTGAACTATTCCTCCAAAGCAACCTAATATAGCTGCTGTTGCCATTTGTGTCAATAATGAAAATTAAACATTAGAAAGAAAATCACTCACGGTCCTTGACCG